CCTGGGACCAGAGTATTATCTCCATCAGTCCCATCCATGTAAAGTAAATCTTGGTCAGTTTATTGCTTTTAACTTTTCTCTATTACTGCAGCATCAAAATTCATCTCTTTCGAAGAAAAAAAGAGATGTGTATGAAACCTACTTGACTGCTTCATTTTTTGTGCAACTTGTATTGAGCATGAATAGGAAGTTCCTACTCTTAAAAAGACAGATAAACGTTTCTTTTCCTTCTTCTTCATATTCCATAGTTTCTCTTTAAATGTTGAAAATGGATCAGGAAGAAACATCCCACCTTGACAATCACCAATGGTTGAATCTTCCAATTTGATACCGTTCTGAACTTTTTCTCATTCAACTGATTATATTACTTGCTGGTTGCATTGTTCTGCCTGCTGACCTTAAGTAATTTCTGCATATCTCTCGGCTCCTTTCTCCAACTTGTTGCCTTTTTGCAAGAAGATGAACGTCTGAAGGAGCTACCTAAGCTCTCTGTCAAATTTTTTCTTCATGCTAGTGGAAACATTGCCACAACATTTCCTTATAACCAGGTATTCCTTCTATTTGCTTCAACAATGCTCATTTACAACTTGTCAAACTCTTCGTTTGCTTTATCAATTATGTTCTATCTTGCACCAGGTGCTAGTAGGTGCTGTGCGCAAGGTCCCCAAATCCTCATGGAATGCAAAAGAGAGGTATACCTCTTCAACTCCCTTTATGTTCTTATGTTTGGTTCATTGGTTTGGTTGTCTTTTACAAATGCTGGACATGTTATGAGATGGAGCCCAATCCATGTGTAAGTGTTCAAACTGCAGGTTATGGATGTTCCCTATATCTTCTTTGTCATCAGCAGAAAAATTTCTTCATGAAACTTCTGGTGTTAATGTTGAGGTGATAATAACTCTTGCCCTTTTCCATTTTTTATTCAGGCTTTGCATGATGATTCAGTTTAAATTAATATAAGTTGAGTTTCAATGTAGACACTGTTACCATTTATGTTTGAAGTTCACCAAGTCTGGATTGTTTTTTAACTTCAGTTTTACCATATTTGATATTTTGTTGCAAAATTGTGCAGGTAGAGAACGTAGATCCCTTAGTTCACCTCGCTATTGCTGCTGCGTCTGTTTTTCCGGATATTCTAGGCTCATCCATTCCTTCAGCAGCCACAGGCACAGAGAGCTATCATCCGATCCGAGTTTGTCAGCCGTCCTCAGCTCACAGCCACCACCTTCAATGGCCAGTGCTTCACTCAGCCTCTTCATCATAAACAAGAATGTTCCGACTTGACTGAGGATGATTTGAAGGTATTAATTTCTCACAGACGAGACCGATGACAGGGTTTTTTCTTATTTCTTTAAAATAAATCGTATAGCCGAGCGGCTATACTCTCTAGTTAAATGTTTTAAGAATAAGTCGTATAGCCGCGCGGCTATACCTTTTTTTTCAATTTTTTAAAAGAACCGATCGGTTATATACTGTTATTTCTTATCTGTTTAAAAAGAAATAGTCTAGCCGAGCGGCTATACTCGATTTTTTGAATTGTTTTAAACTGAAATAGTATAGCTGAACGGCTCTACACTGTTTACACGTACGGCTATACTCTCAATAGTATACTCGGTTCCTCCATATTTTTTTTTAAAAAGGAAACGTATAGCCGAGCGGATATACTCTTCCATATTTCTTTTGGACTTGTTTTAAAAGAAATAGTATAGCCGGTCGGCTATAATCGCGTTGGACATATACATACATATTTTTGAATTCTTTTTTAGCAATAGTATAGCCGAGCGGCTATACTCCATTTTAAATTTTTTCAAAGAAATAGTATAGCCGCCCGGCCATACTCCATTTATTAATAGTATAGCGGTGCGGCTATACTCGTATTGAACATGTGCGTACATATTTTTTATGTTTAATACACTTATTTTTTTTTTATCAAATTTTCAATAAAACACAAACTTCACGAATTATACACAAAATTCCCACATATTATTGAATACTAATAATATATACAAATAAATTTAAAATATGTTATATTAAAATCTTATATAGTAGCTGAAATTTTTAGTTGTAATTTGAAAAATAAAACACGTACGTATTTTATTCTTATAGCCACGTGGCTAAACAAAAAAAAAATCTATAAAGTATAAACTAATGCAACTAGGAGGGTCTTATTTATTAATTTTGATGTATTAAATAGTATAGCCGCCCGGCTTTATGCCTTTATTAATAAATTTTTTTAAAGAAATGGTTTAGCCGTGAGGCTATACTCGGTTCTTCTATTTTTTTTAAATAAATGTATAGCCCATCGGCTATACCCGGTTGTTTGAAATTGTTTTAAAATAAATAGTATAGTCGTGCGGCTAGACTCGCATTTAACTTATACATACATATTTTTTTTTATGTTTAATGCACGTATTTTTTATGAAATTTCAATAACAACAAAAACTTCATGAATTATACACAAAATTCTCACATATTATTGAATACAAATAATATATACGAATTTTTTTAAATATATTATATAGTAGCTGAACTTTTAAGTTGTAATTTGCTGAACTTTTTACCAAATTTGTATCTATAAAGTATAAAGTAATGCAACTAGGAGGGTCTTATTTCTTAATTTTGCTTTATTAAATAGTATAGGCGCACGGCTGTACTGGCTTTTTGCAATTTTTTTTTTACAAATTTATAAATAAACCCAATCCTAGACATGTTTTTATAAAAAAAACCCAAGCACTATTTAAACATAGTAACACACCCAAAATCAACCTCAAAGTCAACTTTTTGGGTGTGTTTATAAATGGGTTTTGAGTGTGTGTAATGATGGGTTTTGGGTGTGTTTATAAAGTGTTTTGGGTGTTGGGTTTTTTTATAATTTCAACCTCCATTTTGGGTGTTTTAGTGAAACTCCCTTTTTTTTTAGCCACCGGTAATACAAATCCAATTCTCATGTCACATTATTCGTTATGAATGAATGCGTCTTTCTTTGTAACATTGTTTTCAAATTTTAGTTAGGCCCTACGCAGTACCGTACAAGAACCGTTTTCGAAAACATATCACCTGAGGTACTGAGGGAATTCTTCTGGAATGATGAATTTAGACCCCAGGGGGATAACATGCTCGTTCACTTCCAAACTCCCAGAGTTTGCGCCAAACTGGTTCCATGATTGTCCACTGCCTATTTCAGTGAAACCTAGGAATGGAGAGCAGCAGAAAATGGAATCAGAAGTGCAGATTTACCAAATGGCAAAGGAAAATGGTGGGTCTCCTTCCAATTATGCACTTATGGCAGGCATAACATAACCACAAAGATTGCAAAAGATAATGAACTTGCATAAAGGCTGAATATATATTTCGCGTTGGGAGCTGCATCAAATCAAAGCCACTCTTTTTCAAATTTCCAGTAAAAAAATTTCTTTGCTGAATCAACTTTTTCAACTTTTTGAAAATGATAACCAGGAGATATCAACTTAAATTGACAGATTCCTCCATCAAGTCCTCGGCTATTATTGGGCTGGCTACTAACTAAATTATAGAGCTAGTGGCCAAATCACGCTTGAGAGACGTTCATTTCTCAGAAAGGGCAAAATCAAAAACCCAAAACCAAAAATACTCTGCACAATCCGAGTGTGTGATTCTTACTTTCTAAGTTTCTGTTCAAGAATGGCGTTGGAGGATGACGACTGGGACTTGAGTGCCGAAGAACTCGATTCTCTTGAACGAGAAGCTTTCCAGAAACTCGCTCAGCAACGCATCAACTCTGCTTCTGCTTGTTCTTCCTCTTCTTTTTCTTCTTCACATAATCACCACCAGCTGCATCAGTCTTTTCCTTCCACTATCAACAACAGTGTGGAAGCAAAATATCTCACCTTAGGTCAAATAATTAGGCCAATCAATTTGGGAATTATTTGACCCAATTGGGGGTTACCTAACCTAATTGGGAGTTACTTGAATTAATTGGGAGGTTACATAATTTAAATTGGATGTATTTGATCATCGCCTTAACTAGGGATTTGGTTAAATCCCTAATCCCTAAATACACCAACCACGCCAACTTCACCAACCCCACCAACTTCGCCGAGTCCCCCTATAAATACTTGGCTACGCACGAGGATTGAGGTACGTTTGAATTCCTTCTGAAACTCTAGCCATCATATTCTTTCTCTCTCTCACACTAGGCTCCGGCCACCACACACGGCTCCAACCAACCGGTTTTGCTTGAAACACCCAACCTAACTTAGGCATCAGAGGGCCTTTGGCCAACACCCCCCGGGTGTGGTCCTTTTACTCCGATCTGTTTTGTTGGAAGAAAGAGAAGTGGAGAAGATGAAGGAATCTTAGGTGAATATTCTAGTGGGATGAAAATCGCTCCCACAAATTGGTGCTTTCATTGAGAGCGCGAGATATATTCAAAGCGTGCTCCAAATCCATCTTTCACACATTTTTTTCAAACAACCATGGTTGATACAAGATGTACGAAGAGTAACGCCACCACAACGGGCCCATCTCATGGTTTCGTGGTGGAAACCTCAATGCAACTGCACGGGATCGTGGCTGCCGACGCCTTGCAGCCGTCTTCTAGTGCTTTGCAGACGCCTTCAGTTGCTGGAATTGCATAACAGCCGCCACATGACCCCGGGACCTCCATAGCCTTGCAGTCGCTAGCGCCGATTATCGGAGCTGCTCTGCCTCGCTGTCCTGCCGTCGGAGCACAGCAGCAGCCACACCACTTAACTACCGGACTTGCTGCACAGCCCCACGGCTGTCCAGCCGAGGACCAACACGCGGCAACAAGCTACAGAGGAATCCTCACCAGCTCAATCTCCTAATTTGCCCCACTGGCAGGGCACCCAAGGGGATCGACCCTTGGGAACCGAGGAAGAAGTTAGCCAGTCACGCTCGAGGCACTGAAGACGTCGACCTGAATGACCTTTCTTGCAAGCAGAGGATGACGATCGACGCCCACCAGCCCCGCTCGAGGACCAACACGTGGCGACAAGCTGCAGAGGAATCCTCACAAGCTCAATCTCCTAATCTGCCCCACGGGCAGGGCACCTAAGGGGATCGACCCTTGGGAACCGAGGAAGAAGTTAGCCAGTCGCGCTCGAGGCACCAAAGACGTCTGCCTGAGACTCCAATCCTGCGGGCAGAGGATGTCGAAAAGCTAGTAAAGGACCAACTCCGAGGTCTCAGACTTAAAGGAAGCACGGAGAAGATCCTGTGCAAGGAAAATGATATAGTTGACTGCTTGCCCTTTACCAACGAGGTGGACCGAGCTCCGTCGCTGAAGCGGTTTACAACACCATCCATCACTCCATTCAAGGGGGACTTTGACCCTGAGAGCCATTTGAGGCACTTCAAGAGCACCATGATCCTATACAAGGTAGACGACGCACTGATGTGCAAAGTGTTCGCGATGACTCTGTGAGGAGTAGCTCAAGATTGGTTCCACACTCTACCATCCGAGTCGATAGGCAAGTTCAAGGAGTTCGCCCTCATTTTCACAAAGGAGTACACCTCCTACGAGACGGTCAGAAAGCATGTGGACCACCTGTTCAACCTGCGCAAGGAGCCACACGAGTCTCTACGAGACTACCTGAGACGGTTTAAGGTTGAGAAGGCTAACATCATAGGATGCAATGACCAAGTTGCATCCTCAGCTTTCAAGAAGGGCTTGCCAGCTGAGTACGAGCTATACCAGGAGTTGGCCATAACTCCAAGCCAAACCTTGGCAGAAGTGTTCACCACGGCAGAGCGCTACGCACTTTGGGACAATGATGGTATCGCTGTAAAGAAAGCCAGCAAGCAAGTTGACCACTCGACAAAGCAGGCAAACCAAAAAAGCAACAAGTTCGAGCAAAAAGCCCGGGATAAGCCCAGTTCGCGGCCCCAAGAGGGAAGCTCAGAAATAGGGACCGTCACTGAGTTTGCTATCCCAATCCACCAGATCCTAGCTCAGGTGAAGGACAAGCCGTGGGTGAGGAGACCACTACCCATGAAGAGAGACCCCTCTAAGAGGGACACCAGCAAATACTATGCATTCCACGGGGAGCACGGTCATTACACCAACAACTGCAATGCTTGAAAAAGGCACCTTGAGGAGCTAGTCAGAGAAGGTCATTGCACAAAATTTGTTGCAAAGAAGGCCATCCAGCAGATCGAGGATCGTGATGCAGCTGCCAAGGAACCTCCCCAAAAGGTCATTCAAATCAACATCATTCTAGCTGACTCCCAAGTGTCCGGGCTGACCACCAAGGAGCGTAAGAG